ATGTACCCACTTTGTCTTCAGCAATCATGTCGGGAAGGTGAGCATCATGGAATACAGTTTAATAGAACAAAGTATTCTTGCATTTAGGGAGGACTTGAGTAGAGGACCAATGTCCATCTGCTACCTTAATATTCAACCTATAAACATATGCACAGTGATCTATTTCCCCATCATCATCATATATAAATATATTTACATAAGTACATGCCTGTATTTAGACCTCTATAAACGCCCTTTACCTCCTAGTTCTTTCCTCTATTTCCTTTTACTTTCTTTTTGTCTCACTATCATGTTCAGCCTTAACTTCGGTTTCAGTAATTCCTGTTACATTGCCCTTGATCAACCTCTACCAGGCCTCCTACACCCTCCCCGCTATCGATTTTGGATCACGTGTATTTCAGAGGATTTCAGTAACCTAGATGCTGTCTTTCAGTTGAAACCCAAGTCCTCTGACCATCTTGAGCCCACTCTGCACAATGATTCTCAACCCAGTGACCTTCTGTAGGCCTTGCCACTCAACTCATATGTTTTTATTGCTAAACAATACACTCTTGTAAAAGTGTTGCAGTTTGCTTAACCACTAACCTTTGGAAAGATGTCTTGGTTGTTTCAATGTTTGCAATTATTAATAAATATGCTAAAAACAAACAAACAAACAAACAAAAATAATGAGCCTTTAACTCTTGTACTCCTCTCAGTGTCTTGCCCTGACTCCAGTTTTTGCTGACCTCTACCTTTTCTTGTGTATTCCTTTCCCCTTCACCCAAATTAGTATGATTTCAACTCTAGGGAAATAAGAACTGTGACAAAAACATGCAGGCCATGTTTATTGCAACACTATTCCTAACAGTAAAAAGCTTGAGTAACCTAATTGCCCAATGATGGAAGAATGGATAAGCTATGGTACATACACATAGTGGAATACTATGCAATGTTACGAGTAACGATGAAAATGTACAACACCTCATAACATGGAGGACATCATGCTGAGGGAAATTAGTCTATCACAAAAGGATAAATATGGTATGAGTCCACTTTTATTAAAAAGACAAGTAAAAGTTTTTACCGAAAAAAAAGCATTCGGTGACAGCTAGCAGGAGTGTGAGGAAAGGCGGTTAAATTTCTAACTAGAGAGGAACATAGACTAAAAGACACAAGTTAGAGAGTAGCCATCCAAAGGTAGAAAGCCCTTATAGAATCCTGGCACTCTAAGCGCAAATGAAGACAAGGCTCTGTCTTGCCTACAGTGCTTATCCGAATAACCACAACTTAGTGCACCATCTATGAAGGAAAATCTAATATGAGGGGCTTCAGAAAGTTTGTAGAAGAACTCCATTATCTCTTAATTCCATTTTTCTATGCAGTTTTTTAAATACCCTCAGATTTGAACTCATTTAAAAAATTACATTGAGTTATTTTATAACTAATAATGACGTCTCAAATATTCATAAAAATGTCAGTGTCTATATAAAAAGCGAGGTGCTCTGGCAACACTGTCAGGTAAGCATGAAAAGCCTGTTTACAGGGTCACTACGAGTTAGAATATGCCCCGGCATATACAACGCAGATTAACCTGAAAGATATGGAAGTTGATAACCTAAGATATATGTGATTATTTTCATTTTTACATGTTTTCAACCACCAGGGAAATTTTTGGAGCATAGAACATGACTTTCTACTTTTAGAAAATAATGAAGTATACATTGTATTACCTGAGTGAATGAATCGACTGATGATACAGCAGCATTTCCTACAGGAGTCTGCTGAGCCAAGCTGTCCAGTAATTCCACTGAGATTCCAATCTGAGCCACAGATGGAGTCCGCACAATATTCATGGCTCCAAATGGATGTTGGCTTCCTTCCCCTGAAAGAAATTCATACAACAGACTTCAGATTTAACTCATAGTTCTACAAACCTCTTTGTAAATACGTGAAGAACCTATGGCCTATATGTACTTGTTACATACAACTTTGACTCTGTTCAGAAAAACATAAAAGGTTATTTAGTTTTAAGGACATTAAAAAATAGGAAAACAAAGTTTCCTCACCAGATAAAACTGCTGTTACTTCTCTAAAAATTATTAAAATGACTGCAGCCACAAATGGACAATAGAATGAGAAAAATAGGAAAATGAGAGCAAAATAAATTTGAAAAAAATCTCAATACTAACTAAAAGTCTAGTGTTTCAAGATTTTTAGAACAAGTTTTAATGACTACTCACCAATAAACTACATTTATTAAATGACACATCAACATGTGATGGTCTATTATCAAACTGGCATTACAAATGTATAAGGGGGCTTTCAAAAAGCATGTTTCATGAGCTGATATATGGTCTATCAAGGAGAATGTTCCATGTACCAGTGAGAAGACTACTGCAGTTTTAAGTAGAATACTCTGTACATATGTTAGGTATGGTTCATTTATAACATCCAAGTTTTCTATTTCTTTGATGATCTTCTGTTTATGCACTCCATATTGAAAGTGGGATAATAAAGCCTCCAAATATGAGTCTTGAATTGTCTGCCTCCCTTCAGGTTTTTGAGGTGTTATTTCGTGTGTTTTGATGCTCTGTTGTAGGTGCCTATGTTTTTAACATTATACCAGAAAGCTTCAAAAAGTTCATGGAAATTTTACATGGCCTTTTTTTTCATCTTGTTGATTTTTAAAAAAAACATTTTATTAGGGGCTCATACAACTGTTATCGCAATCCATACACACATCAATTGTGCAAAGCGCATTTGTACATCGTTCTCAAAACATTTTCTCTCCACTTAAACCCCCGACATTAGGTCCTCATTTTTCCCCTCCCTCCCCGCTCCCCCCTCCCTCATGAGCCCTCGATAGTTCATAAATTGGTATTTTGTCATATCTTGCCCTGTCCGACATCTCCCTTCACCCACTTTTCGGCTGTCTGTCCCCCAGGGAGGAGGTCACATATAGTTCCTTGTAATCGGTTCCCTCCTTCCTACCCACTCTCCCTTTACCCTCCCTGTTTCGCCACTCACACCACTGGTCCTGTAGGGCTCATCCGCCCTGGATTCCCTGTATTTTCAGTTCCCATCTGTACCAGTGTACATCCTCTGGTCTAGCCAGACTTGCAAGGTCGAATTTGAGTCATGGTAGTGGGAGCAGGGAGGAAACATTTAGGAATTAGAGGAAAGTTGTATTTCTCGTTGTTGTTACATCGCACCCTGACTGGCTCATCTCCTCCCCGAGACCCCTCTGCAAGGGGATCTCCAGTGGCCTACTAATGGGTACATGACCTTTTAATTACATCTGTCCTCAAACTTTTAAATTCCCTTCATAGTATCTTGTTACAATGTTATCTTAACATCTTTCATCAGGCAAGACCACATGACAGAGCCAAGCGTTTCTGGCCCACAAAACAAGGCAAAAGGCAAAGAGGCTGCATATCTGAGAGGTTGAGAACCAGAGAAAGATAGGAGAGCCACAAAGAGACCTGCCTGCTGGTTCATCTGAGGTGCTGTTGTAGATAACAGTACTATAATCCTTCATGTTTTCTGATCCTGACTGTGGGAACCTGTTAACTTTTCTAGTAAACCTCATAACTATGAGTACCGCCTGGGAGTTCTATGTGGCTATTGCAACAGATTATTGATCCCAGCAGAACATCAGGAGAGAAATGGTTAGGGTCAGAATAGGGTAAAAGAAGTTGGAGGGTAGAAGCATGTCTGACTTCTGCCTCCTAGGAATCACACTTGGGTAGATGTGCAGTTGGATTCTTTTCTTTTTGCAGTGAGAAGAGGTCAGATGTGCTCCCTGCCCCCACCATTTCCTCAAGGTTAATAATAATCATCTACTACCTTATCTAGAATTACCTATAGCCTACCCAAGCAGACAGCTTGGTGTGTCTGACATCCATCATTTATCATACACAAAATGTGGCAAATGAGTACACTCCCTAAGTAAATCTAAGACATGTTTTAAGAGAAAAGACTAAGGAAATAATCCTAACTCGCATTTTAAAGCTCTCCTCAAGTAAGACAACAATTTAGGAGGAGGGGGAAAAACTTAAAAGACTTCAATGATCTGTAATCAATATTTTCAAAAAGTTCTACTTTGTGCTTAAGTTATTCATCACCTTATTATTAAAACGGACTTAAGATCATTATACCCTCTCCCAAGTATAAAGGTCCTTATTTACAAACCATAAAATAAAATATGTTTAGAAAGAAACACTGAAAGACAATATACATATAGCCTTACACATGTAGGGTTTGATTTTGGATCTCAATTCATGACAGCCAAAGTAAAAAGAAAAACATTATCAGTTACATAGAAACTTACTATCAGAAAAACACAGTAGAGAAAGCAAAACTTCTACCATGATCTGAAAATTAGATACAGTCCTCCACAGTCCAATTGTACTCTCATTAGCTAGTTTTGATAAGCTTTTTCTCAACATGCCCTTCCCTCAACATCAAGAGCTGACAAGAGGACAACTCAAAGAAAGAAATGCTTTTAAAAATCAGATCTGTACTCTTGGGAGGCATATAGGGAAAAGATGTCTTCACCATTTCCTTATTTACATACCTATGCATATATATGAATGCAAATAAAGAGGAGAAAACTTTATTAGAATGGTGATTGAGTATTTAAATACAGCAAACGCACATTTTCCTGATTTTAAATTTAAATAAAACCAAATGTCTCAAAAACTGTAAGTGGCCCCAAGTCCAAATTATTTACTACTTGACCCTTTACAAAGTTTGCCAACCTTTCCTCTAGCCCAGAGGTTCTCAACCTGTGGGTCACGACCCCTTTGGGGGCGGGGGTGTCAAATGATCCTTTCACAGGGGTCGCCTAATACATCCTGCAGATCAGATATTTACATTACAATTCATAACAGCAGCAAAATTACAGTTATGAAGTAGCAATGAAAATAATTTTATAGTTGGGGCTCACCACAACATGAGGAACTGTATTAAAGGGCTGTGGCATTAGGAAGGTTGAGAACCACTGCTAAAGCCCATTCCATCATTCTTTCATTTTCTTATTTCAGGTTTTTTTAGAGCATAAGTAAGAATAATTGATAAGTTATGATAAAATGATTCTTTGGATATTGAAATGGAAAAATATTCCCAAATATTACATTTCTAATTCTAAAATATCACTAAAAATAAGATCAGGAATACCCCAATACATCATGATTTATAAATGGCAGAGTGACTCCAATCTTAATTTTAAGACAGAATTAGTTTTTAGCCTATTAAATACATTTAAGCAAGTGTTCTATTCTTTGAGACCTCTACAAAAGAATAAGTTATAAAATATTAATTTTGATAAGTTAGAGTACTCAAAATAGAATCTAAAAATCTGTCAGTGAATCCAATTGACCTTGACATACCACAGGTCGAGTAGTACAGGTATGCCTGGCAGCAAACAGATGAGGCCTGAAGAAAATCATTATGCCAAAACTGAGGAATACACTATGCAATGGTAGCTTAACTAGATCTGTTGAAAAGTTTTCTTAGTATGGAATCTAAAAACTCATAAGCTAAAATATGTATTCCTAGACCTCTGGTCCATTTCCAACGATAGCCAATTCAGCCTAAAATTACAATTTTTACTAATGTATGTGTGAGTATGTGACTTTTAAATGTTTATCAATAATAAATATTTAAAACCAGGCAAAAGTAACATACCTTACTTAAATCTGAACTTGAATGTCTATTGTGTACTTAAGCAGTATTTACCAAGTACAGGTAAGTCCCTGGTTACAAATTTGGGATTATAGACAACTTGCCCTTTATATTACCTACCTTTGCCCTCCCTCACTTGAAAACAATGGAACCACTTCTACCAGCAACAAATTCTTCATCAGACTCATCTTCACTTGCTGCAAATGCAGTTTTAAATCACTGAAAAGGCTTCAAGTTTACTGCCACCAAGTCAAACTCCTTGCGACCCTGTAGGACAGAGTATAAGTGCTCTGCGGGTTTCTGAGGCTACAGAACTTTAGGGGAGCGTCTTTGTTCCCAGGGGCCGCGGGTTGGTTTGGATTGCTGGCCTTTGGGCTACAGCCCAATTCATAACTCAATACTTCACTCGGGGTCCTTTGCTTGCACTAAAGTAATGCTAAATAAGAACCATAAGCACCTGTTCTGACTTAGCTACAAATTCTACTTAAAGACACACTTAGGAATAGATCTCATTCATATTCCAGGGACCACCTGTATCTGAAGTTCATCACTGAAAACATAGGCTGATATAAGTTTCTGGGGGAATATATATATGAAGGGACTTCAAAATGTTCATGGAAAAAAACATTTTCTTTTAATTCCATTTCCTACAAACTTTTTGATGCACCTTCATGTTATGCATGTACATATATATACACATACACACTTTTATATCAAGAGAATGACATGTATAAACAAAAAATATAAGGAATTCTTTGTTGCTATCCTTATAATTAGTCTCTAAAATTATTCCAAAGCAAAAAAATTTAAAATTTATAATATTAAAAAATACCACAGCTCACACTTTAAAATTATCACTTCAAATTAGCACTACCCAAGTAGTAGGGCTTTGGCGATAAATATAAATAAACGGGACCGACCGGGCCCACGTGGATGTCCTTGAAAATTCTTTCTAAAAAGGAAAATGGAAACTACTGTGTGATTCAGATGGGCCCTTCGTACAAACCAGATGAAAATGAAGTTCGAACTCTCGTTGGTCTGCGTTTAAGCCAGAAGAGAAGTAACGGCGTCATCGACAGGTCATTATTTAGCAATGTTGTTACCAAGAAGAAAGCGTTGTGGGAGTCCGCTCTCAGGGACCTCATCGTCGCCACCCTCGCAGTCGAGTACACGCAGTCCAATTCCGAGTGCTGCGCC